CGAGAAAGGGGGGAGAGAGAAAAGCGAGAGAGCGAGAGAAAGAGATAGAGATAGATACACAGATAGATAGATAGATAGATAGATAGCGAGATAGATAGATAAATAGATAGATAGATAGATAGCTAGATAGATATATAAATAGATAGATAAATAGAGAGGCGGGAGAGAGTGAGGGGGAGGGCGAGAGAGGGCGAAAGAGGGCGAAAGAGAGCGAGAGAGAGCGAGCGAGAGGTAGAGGTAGAGCGAGGGAAAGGGGTAGATAAAACTGCACGGACTTCATTGCCAGTCGCAACTGATCCATCATCAACCTTTCGTTGTCGGATTTCATATTAATTTCATGCACATAAAATGTTTTTCCAGTGCCAAGCACCGCGCCGTAACCGGCTAAACATACAGAGGACACGGAGAATAGACACGTTTTCGAGGCAACGTCGAGCAGAGAGCGATTCAGTGGCTACCGGTCTCCAGTTACACATACCATGAAGTGCGCAGAGCTACACGTACACGCCCGATGCGACCTGTGTTTGGAGATACTATTTGTACTGATTTTACATACATGATATATTTCTTTAATTTTCACTATTTAAATATTATTAGAGGATATATTAATTAAATTAAAGCATGAATGCGTTATTAAAAAGCTTTGAGTAAAACCACCAATTTATGTCAATTGTAAATGGAACTTGTAAAACGCATTAGGTCGTTGTGGTAAACAATTTATCGGTCAGCCTTTTATAAACGAATGTCGTTACAAATTTCATATATAAATAGTATATTTGAACTAGTTAATATTCCTCTAATTCACTTGTAAGTCATGTTTCTGACACGTCCCCCGTGATTTTTTGTGTATGATTTGTACGCCTGCGGACCACTGTCAGAACCTTTTTCCAAAAGAATTTACTTCATATGTTCCTGACAACGGTCCCCTGATTATAAACTCGCGTTTATATATTTATTAGTACATATATTACAATTATGTATATTGAAGTCCACACGCATGTGTAGGCCTATTAGCATATGTTTTCACGATTGAAATACTTTTTAATAAATATACATTAAACTAAGATTTTCGATGTACTTTTTCTATGATGGCGATTATTCAAAAGATGTCCACAATAATTTGTAAAGAAGGCTCTACATATTTCAGTAAAGAGTAAAGTGGTAGGATAATACATTGCAGTGAATCACTGGTTGCGGTGGTGGGAATCTCCGAATGTGGAGTAGAATAAACTAGAGCAGTAGAGCAGTAGATGAGTAGAGTAGAGTACAGTGCAGTGGAGCAGTAGAGCAGTATAGTAGAGTAGAGTACAGTGCAGTAGAGCAGTGGAGCAGTATAGTAGAATGCAGTAGAGTTGTTGTTTCGTGGACCTTGACCCTGACCTTGACCGTGGCCTCGACCAATTTCCCCATTTCTAAAATTTTTCGATGGCCTTGGACTCAAGGCCATTACTTTTTCCAATTTTAAAATTTCTACATAATTAGGCCAAGGCCATAGCCCTGAGCCATTTTCAAAATGTTTACCTCACTCGATTACAGTCATGGTCATGGTCAATGTGTGTTTATATTTCGCCTAACAACATCTCGAAAATATCTTACCGTAGTAAATGACAAGATTTGAACCCGGGATTATTGAGTACCAGCCCAGCACGATACGCTAGCACCCAAACTTACCATTCCTTATATGTTCAGCACGAATCTATGTGTTACATTTTACTCAACAATAATTTGAAAATATTTTACGAAGTTACCTCACAAGAGTTGAACGCGGGACAACCCGGTCCTATTCCAACATGTTACGCACACGCCTAAACTTACAATTTGGGTTTGGTTCAGATCTGATGTGTGTTACGTTTTCGTAGAAAAGAAAAGTCAACAAAGAAGTTACTGCCGAGCAAAGATTTTAACGCGGAAATTTCTATTTATAAACGAGATAGAAATATACTTGCAGTTCTTTTCGTACAAACAATTATGCTTGATAGAACCGCGCTATATTTATTATTGTTTATACTAATACTAATAATAATTTATAATACAGTAGCTCGATGCTAATTAATCGAAGCAATATCCCTTCAAACATGGATTCACACAGTAAAATAGGTGGTGCTCGCCTCTGGTTTGCTTGTCCGCACAAACGGATAGATATGGCCAAATAAATTTAAAAGAAAAACCACATTACTTCCGTATATGCTCTAGGGGTAGCTAGAACTAACCGCACTAGAAAAGAATATATCTGAGAGCACGTGTACGCCGAAACGGGACATTTATAATTATACGAGTTATTTGTAATAATAAAACTGCGCCTATAGTTTTACCACCCCCTAACTACCACAGGCCGGGGCGAGTAATAAACAGTAGATCCAAACCGCAAATGTGAGGCATCAACATCGTAGATTAGTACTTGTTTTTAAAACAATTTCAAAATGGAACATTTAGCGTTAGAACAAACCATGCCATGCATGACATGCAATGTACTGGTGATTATTTGCTGACAGTGGAATTAATATATGACGAATAATTTAAGAAATCTTTTGTTATTTAATTATATATAATAGCATGTATCTCTACTTCAATAATAACTCTACAAAAGGTTATGCACAACCATTAGGAATCCAAAAAGCTAGTAATGTTATCTACGTGATGGAAACTCGAGTGTCACTCACACACATTTAAATTTTAAAAGCAAGAGTAAAATAACGTGGAGTGTGGTACGTCGAGTCGTCATAATGATAAAAACCATCCAGAGTATAGACGTGACGAGCATTTTAAGAGCGTGGACTGACAAACCTAGTTTTAAAGGCAATTCGTTGTGTAGAACTGATTGACCTGATATGATGCGTGAATTGAATGAGCGTGTAATATACATTCGACTAATGACATGTAGAGTAGCTATCTAATTACAATCAGTCAACATCACATACAGTCATTTAACCTGTTAATACAACTCATAATTGACACAGGAAAAATGGGACAAAGTTGCATTTAAATTGATATATTATCAACATTTTATTGTTTGCATCATACGATGATTATGTTATCCACCTATAAAATTGATTGTGCAAATAGCCTATCACAAAAACCCCTAACAAAACAAATGTACACTATTCACTTGCATTTTCAAAAAAATCTTATATACATATATGCAAGACGGTCACCCTAAAACATGCAGTTTTTTTCCAAAACGAAACTTTCTATTCCGGCCAATGCCATGAGCCTATAGCCTACCAAAAGTATAGAATTGAGCAATTTAATTTGAATGATAATTAAGTAAAATACAGGGCTCCCACTAAAATATACTTATAAAATGAGGGTTTTGTAATAAATCCAGTTCCATCGGGATCCTATTAATTACAATCAGCGCTCGTCTAACATAAAATGCACGTCTTCGATTTGAGCCAATAGAAAAACAAATTGCGTTTATCCAGCCAACCCAACCCCTAGATTCACTCTAGACTGGGATGCACCGCCGTAAAGTGAAATCGGTAAGATATAAATCAGTGGTTGTGTCCAGCAGGTGCTTACATGTAGAGTGTACGTTGTGTTGAAGGTGCAGCAGAGTTTAGCAAGCTGTTGCGGCTATCTGGAGTGCAAACGTTGCTCTTGCACGGTGAGAGAGGAGCTGGCCTCGATGAGATCGTTGGTTGTTTCCTGCAAGATTAACTTTTTCGTGTAAGCAGCACATTGCAGTAATGTGGTTTTTATTTTTAGTTTCATTTTACTTTTTCTATTATAAAAGATGTACGTCGAAGTACTATGTATGTTGAATAACAAAATAAATACAAAGCATCAATGAATCTTTTATGGCAAAACGATCCATATATAGATTGCGCCAAACTTACTTTGAATAGCTGAATTTGTGCAGCATATCCTTAACACTGCGTTGGTTTTCGCTGCTGCCTCTTCCCTGCACAGTTCTCTTTGCTAAACCCTGTCTACGACACGAGCTCATCTTGCTCTGACCTTTGAAAAATGAACACAAGGCAGTCATAACAAGTGAAGTTGGACAAAATAATTTCGAATTTAAATTTAAGACAGAATCCTACCACGACAGTCGAATAGCAATAAAAGTTACTTGGCATACTAGAGAGGGGAGATAAACTAAATAACGAAATCTTTTGACAAATAGTAGATGTCTGGGAAACACGTATGAAGCATGTCGGTAGGATCAAATCAAGACAAGCACTACATGACTCACTTTAAATAAACACCCACGTTTCTGGCGCAGAGATGACAGACAATCATACCTGCAGATAGACGCTGTGAGCCTGTGCCGCGTGAAGAGGTTCCCTCGCCGGTAACGAATCGTTTCTCGCTCGGTTGTGACGCCGTCAAGCGATCGCTGATCGACCGAGACTCCGCCGACCCCCCGACGACATCCTTGCCACCACCCACCTCCTGTGACAACGACCCCGAGTGGCTACCCTCCTGAGATCCGGTTGTCTCCGAGATGATATCCAAGGCTGCTGCGCACGGGAAACCCGGCTGCGACGTCTCCCGCTCATCACTCTGCCCGAGATCAGTCCCCGGCGCGGTGGCGGCGGAGTCGCTGGCGTCGGACTGCGAGCTCCGACTGCACCAGAACTGACTCAGACTGACGCTGTCGCCATCTACGCTGCACACGTTGGAGAACTGCGACAGGGACCCGGCCGCGCTTCCCTGGGAGTCGCCGTCGTCGGGGGTCCGCTCGCCCTGCGCGGCCGCCCCACGGGAGCCCCCCGCCGCGGCCGCGACACTGCTGGGCAGCTTGTACTGCCGCCGCGTGCTGGGGCTCTGCGAGGATGGGCGACGACCCGAGAGCGCCGTGAAGTCGCTCTGGTAGCGGTCCCAGTCAAACGTGCGGCCGCCGGGAGACGCAGCCGCCGTTCCTGCCGTTGCCACGGCGACCGGAGGCTGCTTGAAGGCATCTCGGTGCACGAAGCCGGCAACGCCAGTGTTACTGCTTCGCTGCGTCGGCTCGACGCGAAAAGGGTTTCTGCTGGCGACGGTCTCGGGGTCGCGTGGCGAGGTCATCTCGGGGTCGCACGGCGAGGTCGTTTCGGGGTCGCATGGCAAGGTCGTCTCGGGGTCGCGTGGCGAGGCCGTCTCGATAGCGGCGGCTCTGGATAACACGCGATCCAGACGGTTCGTGTGGAGGCTCGCTCGAGACGTGCGTCTCAAAGTCTCGTCTGAATTCGACGATGGATCATGCGTCGTCGGTGATTGGCCGCACTGTAGTTGTCCAGCTCTGTCCGGCTTTGTTCCCACCGCTCCTGATGGCACTCCATCCGTACTGCAGTCTAACTCACCGTCCGGTCCTGCTAGCGATACCCTCTCAGTTACCATGAGAGCAGTGGACAGTCTTTCCTGTTTGATGTTCGGCTGCCTGGCAGCAAAGAATCTGCAGAATCGGACGTTATGGGTATGAGATCATTGTCTGAGATGTAATTTATGCTTTTTCACAATGACTGCAATTGAACAAGCGAAGAGTTGGAATGAATCTCGGAAGGAAGGTATTATTCTTACCGACTTCTGATTTCGGGTGCACGCCTCGTTACGCTGGGCTCTACATTTGTTCTTGGCTTCTTGTCCAGGGGCGGTGTTGGTGTCACCACGCCACCATACATGGCTGCCAGCTCAGAGTCTGTGTGTGCTTGCTGGGAGTCAGAATCTGGTGCACACGGATAGAAAAGCACTTGAACATCGGTTCATCAGCGTTACATTTCAACAAAGAAGAGCACTTCGGCTGTGTACCATAACAGTATGTCAGTATATCATTACTGAATATAAGGTTGGCAGCATCAGTTCCTTCCTAAATGGTTTTAAGTAATTCCTAGTTAAACTCTACATGGTACGTAAACTATGCAGAAAGGCATTATACATTAACTAAATTTGTTGTTTGCACCATGAGGCTGCATAGACTGTTTTATAAAGTTCCAGGTACTGGTATGAATATATATACCATGAAGTGCAAAATAGAAATTGAGCAGGATGAAATGTGACTCTGTCACAACATTTCCAAGCAATCACATCACTGCATACCCGTGACAGAACCATCACAGTACCTACCCTGTACATCCCTTGGCCTCTTCCTCGGACTTCTTCTGACAGTGTTGGCAGGTAGCCAGTTGTGAATTGTCACCTCTTTGCCCTTGGTTGGAGCCGCTCGCTCTACCTAGTATACAATGCCGATTACATAGCTTCATCTGGCAGCTAACAAAAAACGTGCATTTAAAGAAAGCAGAGATGCTACAGGGTGGTTCCAAAAAATACTGAACTTTTCAGTAGTGACCAATTAAAGCGTAGCGAGTGGAGCGCGTCACGACCGGGGGTCCAGGAGCAATGCCCCGGTGGGGGTGTAGGGGGCAGCGCCCCAAGAAGCTCCTGGGTTTTAGGGATTTTACAACACTTAGTAAGCCCGATTTTTCAATCGAAATTCAGATTTTTTTCCCGGAACTTTACATTTTAAAAACAAGAGCCGCAGAGCGTCTGGGCTCATCTGGGGTCTGTTGCTATGGTTATAAACGTAACATTTAAGTCGTGCGTAGTGACACCTTTGTTAGGCGCAGATATGCAGATACGCAGTTGCGTACACATCATTTCAGCAACCTTCTGCATTCTGCATACCTACCAAATCCCATTGGTTAATACAAATCGTGTGCCTGAAACTCCTGTTTTATGGTGCATTGTAACCCTAACCCTAACCCTATTAAAAATAAAAATAAATTAATTGTTGTTATTCAATTGTTGTAAATAAATCATGTTGCGTTAATTGGAAAAAAATAGTTAAATGGATAAATATCTAATGTATAAAAATACACAAAACAGGTAAATAATAAAAAATCTGATAGGATTCGATCCAACAACCTTTGAGCCGTGACGCCTGTGCTCTAGCCGTTGGGCTATCCAGGCTTATTGGCTTTCTAGATTATGGATGTGCCATGAATATGAGAACACTGTGACATCATTGAG